CTTATCTGTGAAGCTCTTTATCTGACCTTCAATTCTGAATGAGAGCTTTGCTGGATAAAGTAATCTTGGTTGTAGGTTCTTGGTATTCATCACTTTGGATATTTCTTGCCACTCCCTTCTGGCCTGCAAAGTTTCTGTTGAGAAATCAGCTGACAGTCGTATGGCTACTCCCTTGTAGGTAACTGACTTTCTTTCTCTTGTTGCTTTTAAGATTCTCTCTTTGTCTTTTGCTCTTCACATTTTAATTATGATGTGTCTTGGTGTGGTCCTTTTTGGATTCCTTTTGTTTGGGGTTCTCTGCGCTTCCTGGACTTGGAAGTCTATTTCTTTCACCAGGTAGGGGAAGTTTTCTGTCATTATTTCTTCAAATAGGTTTTCAATATCTTGTCCTCTCTCTTCTTCTGGCACCCCTATAATTCGGATGTTGGTACGCTTGAAGTTGTCCCAGAGGGTCCTTACACTACCTTCATATTTTTGGATTATTTTTTCATTTTGCTTTTCTGGTTGGGTGTTTTTTGCTTCTTCGTATTTCAAATCTTTGACTTGATTCTTGCGATCCTCTAGTCTGCTGTTGGAACTCTGCATAATATTCTTTATTTCAGTCAGTGTATGCTTAATTTCTAGTTGGTTCTTTATCACAACATCGAGGGTCTCAATAGATTTCTTGAGGGTCTCATTGAGTTTATCGGCGGTTTCTAGAAAATTCTTGAAAAACCTTAAAAGTGTGGTTTTGAACTCTATATCCAGTAGTTTGCTTTCCTCCATTTCTGTCATTTGTGTCCTGTTTCTTTGTCTCCGAATTTTGGCTGCTTCCCTGTGTTGGTAGAGTGGCTTTGTGTGCTAGGTGTCCTATAGGGCCCAGTGGCTCAGCCTCCCCAATTACCTGAGGTGGACACTCTTGGTGCACCTCTTTGTGGGCTTTGTGCACAGTCTTGTTGTAGTTAAGCCTTGATTGTTGTAGGTATCACTGGGAGGAATTGACCTCCAGGCCAATTGGCTGTGAGAATCAGCTGTGTCTGCAGTGGGAGAACTTCTGTGCTGGAGACACCCTTCTGGGGCCAGACTTGCTTCAGTGGGGCTTTGGTGTTCACTGAGCCTGCCCCCTGAGTGTGTCCCTTATGGATCTGAGGAGTTGTAATTGGATAGTCCCACTCTGACCACTGGGTACACTGGCTCTTGGATCTAAGGAGGTGCTAATCTAGCGTCTGCCTGAGGCTACCCAGCAGGAGCCAGCTGTAAAGCAATGCAAGTTGCCCTGGGGCCTTGGGGCAGCTGCAGTTTGTTAAGTAATTTTCAGATTACAAAGGGCCAGGCCTTTCACATGCACAGCTTGGGCAGGGCGGGTCCCAGGGGATCAACAGGGTGGGCAGAGCGAGCAGTATGGCTCCTCTCAGTCCTGCCCTCAGAGGCCCAGGCAATCGCTGCAAGCGCCTCTGAGAGAGAGCTGCCCTTGAGTTCCGACCGATGCCAGACAGTCCCGTTTCTCCCGTATGAGTCTGGGTCCCCAGAGACTCGCCCGGAACTGGAGCTCAGAGCCTGAGACTCCCTCCCGATTGAAGAAAACAATCGTGTCCTCAGCTGCCAGCCCTCTCCGCATGCACCTCCGCACCTTTGTATTTTACTTCCGCACCGCACCTCCTCTGAGTCTCAGTATGCTTTTCTCTTTCCTTTTAGTTGTAGAATTTCCACTCAGCCAGCCTTCCTGTGGTTCTGGATGATGTCCGTTCCGTCTTTTAGTTGTATTTTTGAAGTGGTTGTGCGAAGCAGCAATCTCTGGTGTTTACCTATGCCGCCATCTTGGTTCGGTTTTCCATAAAATTATTTTCGTTGCTTCTTCATAACTGTAATTTTGCTAGTTAGGAATCGTAATGTAAATAAATATCTGATATGCAGGATGTATTTTCATTGTTACAAATTGAACATAATTAAAGCATAGTGATTAATCACAAAAACAATATGTAATTATATATGTTTTCCGATGGTCTTAGGTGACCCCTGTGAAAGGGTCGTTAGACCCCCAAAGGGGTTGTGACCCGCAGGTTGAGAACCGCTGTTCTAAGCCATGATGATGAAGGAATGGTTTTTGGAACAAACGTTGACCTGAGAAAATTAACACTTTTTTTCAGAGGGGATTTTTGCAGAAGTCTAACTGAAAACCCAACCTTTTCATTATTCAGGCCCACCAAGGTACAGAACTGGACTGTGGTATTGAGACTGACAATGGTTATAATGGTGTTGTGACATGTTAGAAAATACCAGTTGAGCCTGGTATGGCTCAGTTGGTTGGGCATCCTACCATGCACCAAAAGGTTGCTAGTTCAATTCCCACTGAGGGCACATGCCTTGGTTTCTGCTTGATCCCCAGTAGGGGGCGTGCAGGAGGTAGCCAATCAATATCTCTCTCCCTTCCTCTATGAAACAAATCCTATCTAATAATAGACAAACATGGTAATTGACCGTACCTTCACCACACCTCCAATTGGCTAATCAGCGAGATATGCAAATTAACCACCAACAAAGATGGCAGCTAATTTGCATACTGCAGGCAGGGCAGGACAGCGTGAGCCGCCAGCGAAAGCCACCATCCAGGCCACCGTGTGCGACCCCAGAAGCCCCAGAAGCCGCCTGCTTTCCGCCCGTGATCGGATTCCATCCCGGGCCACTGGCCGGCCCCAGAAGCCCCAGAAGCCACCTGATATGGCAGTAACTCTATCAGTAAGCACTCTGAAAGTCAGTGGCATAAATGCACCAATTAAAAGACAGATTATGAGGGTGAATCAAAAACAAAACCCACTTTAAATATAAAGACACACATAGATTAAAAGTAAATGAATTAAGCTGCAGCCTGTTTTGCTCAGTGGATAGAGCACTAGCCTGTGAACTGAAGGGTCCTAGGTTTGATTCCAGTCAAGGGCATGTACCTCAGTTGCTGGCTTGATCCCCAGTCCCTATCAGAGCATGTGCAGGAGGCAACCAATCAATGTGTCTCTCCCTTTCCCTTCACTCTCTCTAAAATTCAATGGAAAAATATCCTTGGGTGAAGATTAACAAAAACAAAGTAAATGGATTAAGTAACATAAAGAGATTATAAGAAAAATATATTCCAAATTTTGTTAGTTGTATAATGGTTATGTTTAAATTATTAACATCTAAGACATTGGGTGAAGGGTACATATAATATGCTGTAGTATTTTATAGTTTTTTTTACATGTATGAGATTATTTCAAATTAAAATATTAAATAATTAAAAATTAATAAAATATTAATTGATATGTATCTGCATTACATGAAAAATCTAATTGCTTCTAGCATAATTTATTAAATTGTGCTAAAATTTACAAGGGTTCAATTAAAAAATATCTTAATTCTAAATGATATAATAGAAAATATATAATAGTGCAGTTATAAGCACTTATCTGAAAATAAAAATTTAAAGAAGTGAATTTAAAGAAGGGATTAGCCAAAGAAAATTTATGCACAACCCATGGACACAGACAACAGTATGGTGATGGCCAGAGAGAAGTAGGGGGCAAGAGCTGGGTAGAGGGGGCAAAAGGGGGAAATAGGGATATCCTATATAATAATAATAAAAGGCTAATATGCAAATTGACTGAACGGCAGAATGGCCGGTTGCTATGATGCACACAGGCCACCAGGGGGCAGACGCTCAATGCAGGAGCTGCCCCCTGGTGGTCAGTGCACTTCCATATGGGGAGTGCCACTCAGCCAGAAGCTGGCTCATGGCTGGCCAGCACAGAGGTGGTGGCAGGAGCCTCTCCCACCTCCGTGGCAGCACTAAGAATGTCCAACTAACGGTTTAGACCCGATCCCTGAGGGATGCCTTTAGTCAGACATCCCCTGAGGGCTCCCTGGCTGCCAGAAGGATGTCTGACTGCAAGCTTAGGTCTGATCCCCCAGGGAGTGGGCCTAAGTCGACAGGTGGACATCCCCCAAGGGGTCCTGGACTTCAAATGGGCACAGGCCAGGCTGAGGGACACCCCCCCCCCAGTGCACACATTTTTGTGCACCGGGCCTCTAGTATATGTATGTGTGTGTGTGTGTATGTATGTATATATATATATATATATTTAATTTTAAGCCCAGGCAGACTTGAAAAACCACATTAGAAGTACAAACACATAGTCATTGGAATAAAAATCTCAACAGGTGGATTAAGACACAAAGAGATGCCACCAAAGAATCAGTGATTTGAAGCCGGTGCCTTGGAAATTACCTCCTGCCTTGCTCCCCCGTAGCTGCTGCTGCTGCTTTCCCTGAAAATTGCAGCAGCTCCTCCTCAGAGATCCAGGCTCTGGCTCTTCAACGCCCCTCATCCTGGCTCCTAGGCTTCTGATAACACCAACTTCTCTTCTTCCCCTGCTCTGGGGGCGGCAGCTTCTTCCTGTACTGTCTCTGCTACTGCGGTATCCCGTTTTGCACAATCAGTCTGCCAACCCCTGAGTAACCAGCCCCTTATATTCAAGCTCCAGGTCCTTATCTCTTAGCTCCTTATAGTATGACAGCAGAGAACTTCTACTTCCTGTATCTGCAGGGCTGACAGAGCTGAAAATTAAACACAGTGTTTAATTGTTGCCGGAAGCCGGTCCATCCTTGCTGCTTGACACAGTCGCTGCAGGGAAAAAACATCTGCACAGCATATGTTTCAAGGGACCTGGCGTATATGGCATACTGTTCTTAATATGTTTGCTACCCTTCTTGGCGCTATGTGTTTTAACCAAGGTCACCTCTCTGAGAAAGGTTGTTTCCCCAGGTGGGAATTTTTCCCTGGAGTTAGGGAGGGAATGAAACCCCTTAACTAAGTGCCAGGCGGGTAATTAATCACTTTAACTATGAACAATCACGCTTAAGCTACATAATCTTTACTTAGAATAATCTCCTTCAGTTACTTTCTTGTAGCTTAATAGAACAATAGAGTAACTGTGGAATGGAGATAAGAAACGCCCTAACCTTTGGAATAGAATTGATAGGATTAAAATCAACCGGTATAAATACAGATGTAATAAGACAATAAACACAGAACCTGGCTGGAGAACCTCACTATACTGATCAACTGAACGCTGTCTCTATTTGATTGGTCTTGGTCCTCATACCTCCAGGAAGAAACAGGATCTCGATAAGCTCTATGAGCTGAAGTCCAAAGCTTGGCAGATTATGAATCAGTTTGGTCCCTCAGCCCTCGTCAACCTGTCCAATTTCTCATCCATAAAACCGGAACCAGCCAGCACCCCTCCACAAGGCTCCATGGCCAATAGCACTACAGTGGTAAAGATACCAGGCACGCCTGGGTCTGGAGGGCGTCTCAGCCCTGAAAACAATCAGGTGTTGACCAAGAAGAAATTACAAGACTTAGTAAGAGAAGTGGCTCCGAATGAGCAATTGGATGAAGTTGTAGAGGAGATGCTGCTGCAGACTGCTGATGATTTTATTGAGAGTGTAGTGACAGCAGCCTGCCAGCTTGCTCGGCATCGCAAGTCCAGCACCCTGGAGGTGAAGGACGTCCAGCTGCACCTAGAGCGCCAGTGGAACATGCAGATCCCAGAATTTGTCTCTGAAGAAATCCGACCCTACAAAAAAGCTTGCACCACAGAGGCTCACAAACAGAGAATGGCATTGATCCGGAAAACAACCAAGAAATAACACATGGAAAGATCAGGGAATGCACAACATTGTATTTGGAGATACTTGAGCTGAGACCTCAGCCATCTCATCTTTGGATTTTATTTTAATTAAATCTTTATTGTTCAGATTTTTAAAAAAAGAACAATAGAACCTGGCTGGAGAACCCAACTATGCTGATCAACTGAACGCTGCTGTCTCCGTGTCATTCCTTCTTCGCCGACTCCGTCCACACCTTTGGGAACCCCTGGACCTGTTGGGGCTGGACCCCAACAAATTGTCTGTGTTACAGAATCCCAATGTCACTTGAATTCCCAGTCTCTCCATGATTCTTTTTTAAAAAATATTTTATTGATTTCAGAGAGGAAGGGAGAGGGAGAGAGAGATAGAAACATCAATGATGAGAGAGAGTCATTGATTGGTTGCCTCCCCCACTGGGGATCAAGCCCGCAACCTGACTATGAACCGTGACCTCCTGGTTCATAGGTCGACGCTCAACCACTGAGCCACGCCAGCCGGGCTCTCCATGTTTCTCATGTGAAAGGTAGGACAGAGGTTGGAGGAGCAGGGCCCTGAAACCTGGAACTGGGACATCTGGTCACCCTCCATTGAAGCTATCAGGAAGCCCCCAGTCCCTCTGAGCCTCCCTTGCTGATGTGAGTAGCCTGCCTTCTCATGTCTGGGGGACTGGTGCTCCATTGCTGGAGGACTGTGTCATTACCTCACTTGGGCAGGTGCCTTTCCAGGGGACACCTGTTGTCCTTGAGACCCATTGCAACCATCCCCTTGACATTAGACCCATAACTAGTGTCAAACACCTATATGCTCCAGAGAACAGACACGAAGTCTAACCCAAGAGGAAATAGCTCACACATCAATAAAAATTTCCAGCCCGCCCTGGCTGGTTTGGCTCAGAAGATAGAGAGTCAGCCTGTAAACTCAAGAGTCCCGGGTTCGATTCCAGTTGCAGGCTCAATCCCTGGGGGGGGGGGTGCAGGAGGCAGCCAATCAATGATTCTCTCTCATCATTGATCTCATCTATCTCTCTCTCCCTCTCCCTTCCTCTCTGAAATCAGTAAAAATATATTTTTAAAAATTTCCAGCCCACACGGTGTGGCTCGGTGGTTGAGCATCAATCCAGAAACCAAGAGCTCTCTGGTTCGATTCCCGGTCTTAGCAAGTGGAATGTGGTCTAAGGAGCAAAAGGGAATGTCAGTTGTCAGTTCCCAGGGGAGGGGGTATTGATTCAATTATTTGATCAGACCTAACATTCCAGCCTTTTTGCCCTAAAAAACACCACAATCTTTCCAAGGCACAGCCATTTACTACAGTGCCAGGTTATCCCGGAGAACAGGTATGCTTGAGCAGGAATCCCTCCCTGGAGGGCCACACACACACACACACACACACACACACACCCTTCCCACTCCTCTGTCAAGTAACACTAAGAATACTTTACTTCCCGCCTTCCCCATCTCCAGAAGTTTGGACAGACACGTCTGGTAGACAGCACATTCCCGTGTGACTGGCCCAGCTCTGCCCACCTCTCCCTGGATACTGGGCTCCTGGGGTGGAGTGGGGGGTGGTGGGGGGCAAATCCATACTTTATTATTTTTACTTTTTAAAATTGATTTTAGAGAGGAAGGGAGAGGGAGAGAGTTTAGAAACATCAATGATGACAAAGTATCATTGATCAGCTGCCTCTTGCATGCCCCACACTGGGTATTGAGCCCACAACCCAGGCATGTGCCCTGACCAGAATCGATCCTGTGGCTCCTGGTTCATAGGTCGATGCTCAACCACTGAGCCATGCTGGCCGGGCCAAAACCATGCTTATGGAGAGCCGCCCAGACACACTCAGGCGGCTTTGGAACATGGTGGGACTTGGTAAGGAGTGTGTGTGTTGTTGGGGGGGGGGGGGGGTGGACGCTGCTCTCAGAGGCCTGGACTAGCTGGGGCAGGAGACCGAGTGACCGCGCCCTTTGCCATAAGGGATCGCAGCCTTCTTTCTCCTCTTCTCCATCGGAAGCACAATGTGTCTTTTCTCTGCCCCAAGAGGGTGGGCAGGGAGGATCCAAAGGTGCTCTCAGGGTCTCCTGGAACCTGGATTTCAGTGGAGGCTCGTCATCGGCCTTTTTCCCGCCGGTGGGCAAAGACCACCCGGTATCCGCACAGTCTGCGGACTTTTAGGTTACGGCGGGGAGTGGGGGCGTGGGGGCGGGCCTCGGCCTCCGGCCTCCCTACCGACAAAGGAATGCAAGTCGAGGCTCCAGCATGGCGCGTCCCCTGCGGGCCTTGAAGCCCAGAGGGAGGCACAGAGAGCGTGTCACGGGCAAAGTGAATCCTTGGAACAAGCGCGCAGCCGCCGTGAGCCCCACTCGGGGGCACTTCCCCTTTTTCAACTCAAGAACAAAAGTTTTTCATAGTTACAATAAAGCCTCGGGCCGAGTTCTACGCCCAAAATGGCCAGTTGGAAAGGGCTTTCCCGTGGTGATGTGGCTAGCACCCATTCGCTAGCTCACTACGGTCAGGCTCTCCGCCTCTTTCCCGTTCTGCGCATGTACCCGGCTGCCTGCCCGCGGGCGCAGAGCGCCATCACCTCTATGGTCTGCATGTCTGATAGAGTGTCCACCCGCCCTCGCCAGGACTCTATGGTTCCTACGCGCGAAGAGAGGCGGCCTATATAAAGCATGCGCAGGCGTGGGAGCGTCTCTTTCCCTTCGGCGTGGTGAGTAGTGATGGGTGCTCGTTCCCGCCGTGCCCTCGCCGCTTCCCTTGTCATCGTCTTCTGACTATTTCTGTTTCGTTGCAGCCACTGAAGATCCTGGTGTCGCCATGGGTCGACGCCCCGCCCGGTGGTGAGTATTGAATCCATGTAATTTGGCTGCTGGAAGAGGTATAGTGCATTTGGCTGCTTACGGCAATCGTGGGGTGGAGCCTCCCTAGTACATACAGCTTTCCCTATTTTGGGAATGGACTCCATCGTTCTCCCCTATACCTTCCGGATCGCTTTAGGTATTCGTTTAGATCATGTGGTTCTTTAACTTAAAACTTAATGCCGATCTTTAAGCGCTTCCACAATTTTATTGGGGTGTTGTGTTGACCCTTTCCTGCATTTCCGAGCCAGTTTCAGGCTGGAAGCGACGTCTGCCTTGCATCCCGCCCTTTGTCCTGGAAATTGGCCGCCTTTTGAAGGCTCAATGCCTTCTGGGCCTTTGTGTGCCTTTCCCTTCTTATTTCCGGGCTTCGGGTCCTGAGAGCCCAAGTCTTGTGTGGCCTGCAGAGGGCGTCGGGAGTCCTTCACGCGGCTTGGAGGCCAAATGCCACGTGCCCAAAAGTCTAGGTGGATGGCATGAACTGAGCTACTTTTATGCAGCAAATATGTAGTATACAGTGTCCGGAAGTGAGAGGTGTTTTTTAACTGGGAAAGTCTGTTTCAAAGGTTGGCCTTGTAAGACGTTTAAAACCCAGTAAGGGGTCAAGAAAGATTTTTGCCTACATGGTTGTCCTCTAACGTTTGGCCACCTAGTGACTGTCTTGCTTTAGCGCCACGCCAGACATGGAGGTAGCTTACCGATTGGCTTGTGCCATCCCCTCCTTTGGTCGTGGAGGGAGCACTGAAGTGCCTATTGACCAGTTAACTTGTGAATCCCTGCAAACCTGGGTTTCTCCCCCCTCCCCCTCCGCAGTTACCGGTATTGTAAGAACAAGCCGTACCCAAAGTCTCGCTTCTGCCGAGGTGTCCCTGGTAAGTCGCAGAAGAGCTCCCCAACTGGTTTGGCTGCACTGACTCAGTTGTCGAGGGCACCCCACACACAACTCACCCGAGCATTTTTTCAGATGCCAAGATCCGCATCTTTGACCTGGGGCGGAAAAAGGCGAAAGTGGATGAGTTCCCACTCTGTGGCCACATGGTGTCAGACGAATATGAGCAGCTCTCCTCCGAAGGTGAGGTGCAGGGTTCCTGGTTAATCACACCTATTCCTACGCGCTCCCCCAGCCAAATCCGGAGCTCACTGTACTGGAATTACCAGTTCCCGGTCCTTAGTCATGAACACCCAATTGTGAGCCATGGTGAGTGCTTCTGTGCCATCCTTACTCTGCTGCCTTCCTTCCCCCCATCTAGCCCTGGAGGCTGCCCGTATTTGTGCCAACAAGTACATGGTGAAAAGTTGTGGCAAAGATGGCTTTCACATCCGAGTGCGGCTCCATCCCTTCCACGTCATCCGCATCAACAAGATGTTGTCCTGTGCTGGGGCTGACAGGTGAGCTGGGGGATTTTCACATAACTTGAGGGTCTCTGTTGAGCTTGATTATAGTAGTAGAGCAAAGAGATGGCCCCACATAAAGACTCATCCATCCATAGCAAAGCCAGCTTAATGGCCGGCAAGATATTGTGGGCACTTATTTTTCTGCTACTATGCAGATGAGCAGAGACAAAAAGGGCATTATGACAAGGGCTTAGCCTCTGGGCAGCAGATGGAAGAAGTAGCTTTGAGCCTGGTGATAGCCATCTGCCAGCAAGTACGTTGCTGGGGCAGTTGCATGTTGGAGGGCTTTCAGATGAGCCCAGGGGGCACTTTGGCAGGGATTCTGTTGAGTCTGTTTTGGGGTTCGCTGCAGCCAATTAAGCCGACCATGCTCTTTTCCCCATGGGGGCCTGGTGTGCAATGGCTGCAAACAGCAGCATCCTTGGTAGTGTACGCAACCTGTTGCTTAGTATGGGTTGCCTTAAGGGACCTTGGATACAGACCTTTCTGGTGGACACTTGTGTCTGAACTCATGCTGTCCCCAATCTAGGCTCCAAACAGGTATGCGGGGTGCCTTTGGAAAGCCCCAAGGCACAGTGGCCAGAGTCCACATTGGCCAAGTCATCATGTCCATCCGCACCAAGCTGCAGAACAAGGAGCACGTGATTGAGGCCCTACGCAGAGCCAAGTTCAAGTTCCCTGGCCGCCAGAAGGTAACATGCCATAACCTTGATCCCTCCTTTCCTTGCCCCCTCCCCGTCCCCAAATATGTAAACTCAGTTCTTTGTTTTTTCCCCCAGATCCACATCTCCAAGAAGTGGGGCTTTACTAAGTTTAATGCGGATGAGTTTGAAGACATGGTGGCCGAGAAGCGCCTCATCCCAGATGGCTGTGGGGTCAAATACATCCCTAATCGTGGTCCCCTGGACAAATGGCGAGCCCTGCACTCGTGAGAGTCTCGGTGCTGCCCCCACCTTACACCCACCAATAAATCAATTTTTCAGCCCTATCTTTGCATCTGGATTCATGGGGGATGGGGGAGCCTCTGGGAACCCCAGGATCACTGTCCTTTGTCCTCCGGGAAAAGGCTGACAACAGATCAGGGCCAGGGAACAAATAAGCCCAGCACAGCAGCCCAGATAGGACATTGCCTTCCACCTGCTTAGACCAGGGTTTGTAGGTTCGAAGCCTCAGGCCATGGGTAAGTCCTAATGCTGCCTTTATAAAATGCCCTTCCCATGGGGCCTGATAAAGGACTTGTGGCTTCAGGTGGCCCTTGCACTGGTATGGAATCTTTGCCCGTCAGCAGTGTCACGGAATGGGGAGAGTTTGGATCCCTCTGGGTGTGGTCACAGCCATGTTTTAACAGGTCCTCTAGTTTTTGCCCCCTTTGAAATGTGCCACAGGGGTTGGCAACAGCTGGCCTTTGGACAAATAGTGTGCAGCCCCAGACTGCAACTTTGCACTTAATGCCCCTAATGTCTTGGTAACTGTTTTAATTTTTATTGAATTTTTAAGAGGCATATCAATTGATTGCTCTACTCATCTAAGCATTCACTGGTTGATTTTTACTGGTGCCCTGGCCAGCTATCAAACCCACAATCTTGGCATATTGGGGCGATGCTCTAACCTTCTGGACTCCCTGGCCAGGGCCCTATGTTTTTACTGTTCTCTGGAAAATGGAACAGTTCTGGAGTTAGGCCCTTCTCTGACCTGTGTCCTGTTCATGCCCTCACATTGTCACAAAGCAAACATGCTTAAGTTCAGAACTTGTAACAGTTGCAACGATTTGTTACATCAGAGCTGGCTCATGTATTTTCTGCATCTGTAGCCTTGGTAACCACTCCCTGGGGCTGCATCCAGGATCTGCAGAACACCAGGAAGGCCAGCCCCACTCAGTGCTAGCTGCCCCAGGAGGGGGGGTGGAGTCCCTGAGAAACGCACTGGCCACTGAGCAATAGTGGGTGGCATGGGCCTGCAGAGCAGCGGGACTAGAAAAGACCTGGGAGCCCTAGCTGGTTTGGCTCAGTGGATAGAGCATTGGCCTGCAGACAGGCTCCTGGGTTTGATTCCAGTCAAGGGTATATACCCGGGTTGTGGGCTTAATTCCCAGTGGGGGTGTCCAGGAGGCAGCCGATGAATGATTCTCATCATTGATGTTTCTCTCCCTTCCTCTGAAATCAATTAAAAAATATATTAAAAAAAAAAAAAAGACCTGGGAGAAAACCGGTGCTGTCCCCGCCCACACTGCACCCATTTCACAGAGGAAGAGACTCAGGCCAATGATGGGAGGAACTTGCTCCATGTCTCTGCACCTGTGTCCCTTGATGGCCCCTTCTCTGGGACATGCCCTGAGGGGTCAGGCAGGGCTCGGGCTTTGGCTTGAGAGCCTCAGGAGTGCAGCTTCCCTACAGTGACAAACCTACCAGAACTAAGGGGTCCATCACGTCCTCCCTGGCCACCTTGCTAAGCGTCAGCCTCTGGGTGTTGAAGGCACAGATGCGAAAGGCCTGGGCCACGCCCACCAGGAGCAGGAGCACAGCTGGCCAGCGCATGGCTGTGTTTGGGCTGCTGGGACCCTCTGCAGGAATCCAGGTCGCCCCAGGGTGGAGTCCCAGCTGGGCCTGCTTGTGGTTTCAGAAGGACCTGGGGTTCTGGACAGAGAAAGGGAGGCTCACCCTGCCGCCCAGCACCAGCCCCCAGAGCTGCCAGCCTCGGAGATTCCTGCCTCTTCTCCCTGTGGGCACCTAATCTGGGCACATATGGCTCGGCCTCTTGCTCTTAATGGTGACAAAATACACATAGCATGGAATTGAGCATCTTAACCAGTTTAGTGGCGTCAAATACACTCACATTGTGCAACCATCACCACCCTCCATCCCCAGAACTTTTTCATCTTCTAAACAGAAACTCTGTCCACAGGAAACACTAACCCCCCATTTCCCCTCCAGAGCCCTGGCACCAGCCACCCTACTTTCTGCCTCTATGAGCTTCCCTACCCCAGGGACCTCACAGAATGACATCATTGTTCTTTTGTGTCCGGCTTATTTCATGCTGGGGTCCAGCCCCAGCAGGTCCAGGGGTTCCCAAAGGTGTGGACGGAGTCGGCGAGGAAGGAAAGACACCGAGGCAGTGTTCAGGTGATCATCATAGCCAGGTTCCTCTCTTTATTGTCATCTAACATCTGTTTATATACTATTTGGTCCCAATCCTATCCATTCTATACAAAAGGCCAGGGGGCTTCCCATCTCCATTCAAAGGTTACTCTATTGTTCCACTGAGCTACAAGGAAGTAACTGAAGGAGGTCACTCCAAGCAAAGATCAAAGCGACCAACCACCCCTCTGACACTCAGTTAAAGGGTTTACTGATAAAAATCCTCACCTGGGGAAACAACCTGTCTTCTCCTAGCCAGGTTCCTTCCCCTCTTGTCCTCTTATATCTGCATTTATCCTATTTGATCTTAATCCCATCCATTCCATTCCAAAGGCTAGGGCATTTCTCATCTCCATTTCAAGGTCCCTTGAAACATCCCTGCAGAGACTGCCTCAAGCAGCCAGGGTGGATCGGCTTCCAGCAATTTCACATAGTATAATGTTCTCAAGGTTCATCCATGTTGTAATGTGTGTCAAAATTTCCCTCCTGTTTTGTTTTTTTTTAAGCCCACAGCACCCGGTATTCTCCTATCCAACTACTAACCAGGCCTGACCCTGCTTAGCTTAGGAGGTCAGACCAGATCAGAAGGTCAGGAGTGTTCAGGGTGGTGTGGCCATAGACAAAATCTCCTTCCTGGTTCAGGCTATATTCCACCGTATGGACAGACCACGTGTTGCCCATCCATTCCTCTATGAACGGATATGTGGGTTGCGACCATCTTTTGGCTACTGTGAGTGATGCTGCTACAAACACGGGAGTACAAATATCTTTCAGGTTCCTCCTTTCAGTTCTTTTGGGTCTGTACCCAGAAGTGGAATTGCCGAGCCTTATGGTGGCACAAATTAACTCTATTTAATTTGTTGAGGAAGTGCCCTGCTGTCTTCCATAGCGGCTGCACCAGCTTCCAGTCCCAGCAGCTGGTTGACCCCAGCTTTTCACCACCATTGCGAGGGCCATCTTCACAAATATCTTGCTCCACTCCTTTTTTAAAAGATATATTTTTTTTATTGATTTCAGAGAGAGAGAGAGAAACATCAATGATGAGAGAGAATCATTGATTGGGTGCCTCCTGCATGCCCCACACAGGGAATCCAGCACGCAACCTGGGCATGTACTCTGACCTGGAATCAAACCATGACCTCCTGGTTCATAGGTCCTCACTCAACCACTGAGCCACCCCAGCTGGGCTTTTTTTTTTCCGCTCCACTTCTCAGATGTTACCATTTTTTTTATTTTTTTAAATATATTTTTATTGGTTTGAGAGAGAGGGAGAGGGAGAAATAGAAACATCAGTGGTAATAGAGAACCATTGATTGGCTGCCTCCTGTACACCTCCTACTGAGGATTGAGCCCACAACCCGGGCCTGTGTCCTGACTGGGAATCAAACCATGACTTCCTGGTTCATAGGTTGAAACTCAACCACTGAGCCACACCAAACAGAATGTTTTTAAAGATTTTTATTGATTTTAGAGAAAGAGAAACCTTGATTTACTGTTCCACTTAATTATGCAATCATTGGTTGATTCTTGTATGTGTCCTGACCGGGCGGGGATCAAACCCGCAACCTTGGCGTAGGATGATACTCTAACCACCTGAGCTACCCAGCCAGGGCGCTAGCTGCTTTTACTGACCTCTGTTCTCTGGAAAATGGAGCGGTTCTGGAGTTAGCCAGGTCCCTCTCTGACTTCATGTCCTTTGCAGGTGACCTGTGCATGCCCTCCCACACTGAGGGACTGTCCTAACACACCCCAAGGAAACCTGCGTGTTCCATTCGCGGGCATGTAACATAGGGACACAGTGACCATCATTTAATACAACTGCTTCACAAAGCAAACATCATGCTTAAAAAAACAGAATTTCTTACAGTTAAAGCTATTACATGACAGCCGGTTCATATATGTTCTGTGCATCCGTAGCCTTAGTAACCACTCTGCCTGGGGCCACACTCTATGAATGTGCCAACGTGGACTGACTGCAGTTCATGGGCTTCGCCACAGGCGTTGGGTGTGTTTGCAGCTATTTTCATTAGATCACACGAGTTTCAGTGCATCAGCCATTTTTTCGTGTGTGTGTGTGTGTGTGTGTGTGTGTGTGTGTGGTCACGCTGATTCACGTGAATCCCATGTACAATACAGGTGGCCCAGTGACGTATCTGTTCCACACGTGTAGTGTCCCTCCTATCTAGCTTTTCGTTCTCAGTTTGTATGTGTTTCCTTTTTGTCATAATTTTGCATATGTTGTGATTCCCTTTTCTAAGCCCCTTTCCCCTCCCCCAGCCTCGGGGCCCCTGCCTTCCTCTTACACACTCTCATGCCAGGCACAGGCCCAGCAAAAGAACACAAGCCAAACCAAAGAAAAGGCAGAGGGCTGCAGTCCAATAGGGCAGGGCTGGGCAGGACCGGATTGGGCAGGACTGGGCAGGGCTGGGCAGGGCTGGGTTGGGCAGGATTGGGCAGGGCCGAGCTGGGCAGAGCAAGGAAGGGCAGAGCTGTGCAGGGACAGTTGAAGCCCTTCAGGAGTCGCTTTGGCTGCAGGGCAGAGGGCCAGGAGAGGCTGGGGTTTGAGTCCTGAGGGCAGTTTAGTCAGTCATCACCTCTGCGGGCAGCAGACACCAGGGTGGGTGAGGTTCAGACCCCCAGGCCCAGCTGTGGGGGCAGGAGCAGCAGCAGCAGCGGGGACAGCAACAGAGTGGCCAGGCTGAGGGGCCGGGTCCCATGCCCCGCCCGGCTCAGTCTCAGGCTCAGGCTCAGCTCCACCTCCACGGGGTAGTGGTCACTGACGTTGAGGGCCTGGGGTGCACAGAAGGACAGTGTCAGGGTCGAGGGACTTCCCCGTGGCCATTCCCGCTGCCTTGTTTTACCTGCTCCTCGGTGAGCCGGAAGCTCCGGGGGAAATTGAAGGCAGCAGCTGTATGCAACAGCCTCCGGAAGCGCTCCCCGTGCAGCACGATACGGTCATAGGCGCAGTTGGTGCTAGCGCGCACGGTGGTGTCCTCGCTGTCGGCGATCGCCCAGTAGAAGTCGGCCTGAGTCCGCAGTATCAGCTCCTCCAGGCGCTTTTTGGCCAGTGAACTACAGTCAGCATTGAAGTCCCCCAGCAGGATTATGTCCTGGAGAGGGCGCAGCTGTTGTGTCAGGCCACCACGCCATCCCACCACGCCATCCGGTCCCCCTCTCCTCCATGCAACCTGCCCAGCCCTACCTCGCCCTTCTTTTTTTTTTATTAAATATATTTTATTGATTTTTTACAGAGAGGAAGGGAGAGGGATAGAGAGTTAGAAACATCCATGAGAGAGAAACATCAATCAGCTGGCTCCTACACACCTCCTACTGGGGATGTGCCCGCAACCCAGGTACATGCCCTTGGCCGGAATCGAACCCGGGACCTTTCAGCCCGCAGGCCGATGCTCTATCCACTGAGCCAAACCGGTCAGGGCTCCTACCTCGCTCTTCCAGCGCCGGGAGGCATCCAGAAACACGTCATACAGGGCGTTCAGCTCCTGCTCCACGGCCTTCGGAGTGGTGTGTAGGGGGACCAACACCAAGCTGGGAAGGTCTGCAAGGCCCCAGGGATGGAGGGCTCCCACCCACTCCTGGCTCTTCTCCACGCAGCCCCCTCTGGGTGACCGAGCCCCCAGCAGAGCCAGCCAGCCCCCCCTTCCCGCTGCCCCGCAGCAGGGCCAGCCTTCTTCCCCTCTTACCTTTGCTGGACAAAGTGAACTTGGCCACAAAGGGCTCCCGGGCAAAGAGGTCATCCTTGTCATTGTACAGGTAGGAATCCTGGACCTGCATCTTGTGTGACCTGGGGACCGAGGGATGGGAAGCAGTGGTCCCACATCACTGATTCTGGTTTGCAAGTGCCAACATCAGAGCTGGCACTCAGGGAGGGGGCCTCTGCCAGCAGCTCTGTTCCATATGAGCACAGTCTTCTTAGCCTTTTTTTCCCCTCTTCCTAGCCGTTTTTTCTAGAATTTTATTGAGAGAAAATTCACAAACCATAAGCCCAGCCCGTGTGGCTCAATGGTTGAGTGTTGACCTATGAACCAGGTCCGATTCCTGGTTGCGGGCTTGATTCCCAGTAGGGGGCGTGAAGGAGGCAGCAGATCAATGACTCTCATGATTGATGTTTCTATTTCTCCCGCTCCCTTCCTTTCTGAAATCAATAAAATATCTTTTTTTAAAAAAGATATTTTATTGATTTTTTACAGAGAGGAAGGGAGAGGGATAGAGAGATAGAAACATCCATGAGAGAGAAACATCGATCAGCTGCCTCCTGCACAACCCCCACTGGGGATGTGCCCGCAACCAAGGTACATGCCCTTGACCGGAACCGAACCCGGGACCCTTCAGTCCGCAGGCCAACGCTCCATCCACCGAGCCAAACCAGTTAGGGCAATAAAATATCTTTTAAAAAATTCACATACCATAAAATTCCAGTGGCGTTTGTTACACTCACAAGGTTGTAGAACCATCACCACAATCAATTTTAAAACATTGTTAAACATTGTTAAAAAAGAAACTGTATCCATTAGCATCCACTTACCATTCTCCTCCCCCAGAACCCCTGGCAGCCACTCATCTATTTTCTGTCTCTGGATTTGCCTATTCTGGACATTCTGTGTGAATGTAATCAAACCATATGTGGTCTTGCCCTGGCCAGTGTGGCTCAGTGGTTGACCATCATCCCATGCACCAAGAGGTTGCTGGTTTGATTCCTGATCAGGGCACATGCCTGGGTTTAGGGCTCAATCCCAGTGTGGGGCATGCAGGAGGCAACTGATTGATGTTTCTCTTTGTCTCATTCTCCCTTCCCCCCTCTCCAAAATCAATAAAAAAGATATTTTTTAAAAATAATATATGCGCCCTAGCTGACTTGGCTCAGTGGATAGAGCGTCAGCCTGCGGACTGAAGGGTCCCAGGTTCAATTCCAGTCAAGGGCACATGCCTGGGTTTCGGGCTCGTTCCCCAGTAGGGGGCTTGCAGGAGGCAGCCAATTAATGATTCTCTCTCATCATTGATGTTTCTATCTCTCTCTCCTTCTCCCTTCCTCTCTGAAATCAATAAAGAAATATATTTTAAAAAATTTAAAAAAAATAATATATAGTCTTCTGTATCTGGCTTCTTTCCCTTAGCATCATTTCCAAGGTTCACTCATGTTGGAGCATGAGCCAGTACTTCATGTCTGAATCATATTCTGTTGGAGAGAGACCACCTTTTATTTGTCCAGCCATCAGCTGATGGACACTTGGGTAATTTCCACTTTGAGGTGTTATGAGTGATGCTGCTATGAGCATTTCTGTGTGGACATTGTTCCGTCATTATTATTTTTTAAAATATATTTTTATTGGTTTCAGAGAGGAAGGGAGAGGGAGAGAGAGAAACATCAATGATGAGAGAGATGCCAGAACCGGTTTGGCTCAGTGGATAGAGCGTCGGCCTGCGGACTCAAGGGTCCCGGGTTCGATTCCGGTCAAGGGCATGTACCTTAGTTGCGGGCACATCCCCAGTGGGGGGTGTGCAGGAGGCAGCTGATCGATGTTTCTCTCTCATTGATGTTTCTGGCTCTCTATCTCTCTCCCTTCCTCTCTGTAAAAAATCAATAAAATATGTTTTAAAAAATGTTTAAAAAAAAATGATGAGAGAGAATCATTGATCGGCTGCCTTCTGCACGCCCCACACTGGGAATAGAGCCCACAACCCAGGCATGTGCCCTGACCGGGAATCGAACCGTGACTTCCTGGTTCATAGTTCGATGCTCAACCAGTGAGCCATGCCGGCCGGGCTCTCCCATTATTTTGGAGTGAATTCTAGACATTATATACTTCCATCTATATAAAGAAATAGGTGCTCAGCTGGCATGGCTCAGTGGTTGAGCACCGACCTATGAACCAGGAAGTCATGGTTCGATTCCTGGTCAAGCACATGCCCAGGTTGTGGGCTCGATCCTCAGTGTGGGGCGTGCAGGAGGCAGCCGATGAATGATTCTCTCATTATTGATGTTTCTATCTTTCTCTCCCTCTCCCTTCCTCTCTCTGAAATCAATAAAAACATATAAAAATATTTAAGAAAAAAAATAGGTCTCCTTCCCTGGCAGTCCCCCTTGCCCTCTCAATCCTGGCCTCAAAGGGCTCCCCCGAGGCTGTCCTCCCAGGATCTGAGGGCTCTTTCTGGAGCCCGTGTCCACTGGAGGCCCACGACAGGCCCTGTTTGAGCCTCTTCCCAGAAGCTGCAGCCAGCCACTCCTAAATGGGGCAAGACACGCCCTGAGCCCCAGTGGCTTCCACGGGAGAGGCAGAGGGGCCTGACATCTGTGCGTGGAGAAGGCCTGCTGCGGGGGCAGATGAACACCGAAGCTGGCAAGGCTAGAGGAGAGGCAGAGCCCAGAGTAAAAGGGCCCAGGAGAAAAAGTGTGAGAGAAGGTGAAGGCTGCCCTGGGAGGAAGGGGTCTGGGACTACTCAGCCATCTCACAGCGGGCCAAGTGCCAAGTCCGCCCTGGCCACCGTGTGTGCTTACCTGTAGATGTACACATACTTCTCCATGTATGTGCTGCGCCCCAGGAAGGGGCTGCTCAGGGAGCTGTAGGGCCCGGAGTCATCAAATCTGCCAGGAAAGGGGAGCCCAGGGTCAGGGACCCTGAGGCTCCAGGGGGCCCCGGATTAGACCCACAGAGCCCTGGCTCACCGATTGAGTTCTCGGAGCAGGAGGTAGAGGGCGCTGCCAGAAGAGTCCACCAGCTCCTGCAGCAGCGTGATGTCACAGCGAGCCAGGATCTGCAGGACACCAGCAAGGCCGGCCCCACTCAGTGCCAGCTGCCCCGGGAGGGGTGGAGCCCCTGAGAAACTGGCACTGGCCACTGATGTGGGCACGAGTGGCATGGCGTGCTGGCTGTGGCCCACAGAGCAGTGGGCCTAGAAAAGACTTGGGTGGGTCCGGCCAGGGTGGCTCAATGGTTGAGTGTTGACCTATGCACCAGGAGGTCATGGTTCGATTCCCGGTCAGGGCACATGCCTGGTTGTGGGCTCGATCCCCAGTGTGGAGTGTGTAGGAGGCAGCCAGTCAATGATTCTCTCTCATCATTGATGTTTCAATCTCTCTCTCCTTCTCCCTTCTCTCTGAAATCAATAAAAATATATTACACAAACAATCAAAAAGACCTGGGAGAAAGCTGAATGCCGTTGCCACCCTCCCTGCACCCATTTTACAGAGGAAGAGACTCAGCCCAGTGACGAGAGGAATGTGCTCCATGTCTCTGCACCCGTGTTTCTTGATGTCCCTTTTAAACATATATGTTTTTATTGATTTCAGAGCGGAAGAGAGAGGGAGACAGAAACATCAATGATGAGAGAATCATTGATCGGCTGCCTCCTGCGTGACCTCCACCAGGGATCGAGCCCACAACCGGGGCATGTGCCCTGACAGGGAATCAAACCGGACCTCCTGGTTCATAGGTCGATGCTCAACCACAGAGCCACGCCGGCCGGGCTTTCTCGATGTCCCTCCCCTTCTCTGGGACATGCCCCGGGTCAGGTAGGGCTGGGTGGGGGCTTTGGCTCCTGGTCCTCAGGAGTGCAGCTTCCCTACAGTGACGAACCTACCCGAACTAAGGGGTCCATCACGTCCTCCCTGGCCACCTTGGTAAGCGTCAGCCTCTGGGCGTTGAAGGCACAGATGCGAAAGGCCTGGGCCACGCCCACCAGGAGCAGGAGCACAGCTGGCCAGCGCATGGCTGTGTTTGGGCTGCTGGGACCCTCTGCAGGAATCCAGGTCGCCCCAGGGTGGAGTCCCAGCTGGGCCTGCTTGTGGTTTCAGAAGGACCTGGGGTTCTGGACAGAGAAAGGGAGGCTCACCCTGCCGCCCAGCACCAGCCCCCAGAGCTGCCAGCCTCGGAGATTCCTGCCTCTTCTCCCTGTGGGCACCTAATCTGGGCACATATGGCTCGGCCTCTTGCTCTTAATGGTGACAAAATACACATAGCATGGAATTGAGCATCTTAACCAGTTTAGTGGCGTCAAATACACTCACATTGTGCAACCATCACCACCCTCCATCCCCAGAACTTTTTCATCTTCTAAACGGAAACTGTGTCCACATGAAACACTAACCCCCCATTTCCCCTCCAGAGCCCTGGCACCAGCCACCCTACTTTCTGCCTCTATGAGCTTCCCTACCCCAGGGACCTCACAGAATGACATCATTGTTCTTTTGTGTCCGGCTTATTTCACATCGGATAATGTTCTCAAGGTTCATCCATGTTGTAATGTGTGTCAAAATTTCCCTCCTGTTTTGTTTTTTTTTAAGCCCACAGCACCCGGATTCTCCTCTCCAACTACTAACCAGGCCTGACCCTGCTTAGCTTAGAAGGTCAGGCCAGATCAGAAGGTCAGGAGTGTTCAGGGTGGTGTGGCGGCAGACAAAATCTCCTTCCTGGTTCAGGCTAAGTTCCACCGTATGGACAGACCACGTGTTGCCCATCCATTCCTCTATGAACGGATATGTGGGTTGCGACCATCTTTTGGCTACTGTGAGTGATGCTGCTACAAACACGGGAGTACATATATCTTTCAGGTTCCTCCTTTCAGTTCTTTTGGGTCTGTACCCAGAAGTGGAATTGCTGAGCCTTATGGGAACTCTGTTTAATTTGTTGAGGAAGTGCCCTGCTGTCTTCCATAACGGCTGCACCAGCTTCCAGTCCCAGCAGCTGATTGACCCCAGCTTTTTACCACCATTACGAGGGCCATCTTCACGAATATCACTCTCTCTCCATTTCTGAGCTTTTTTTTAAGTATATAGTTACCTTTATTAATAATTCATAAATGGATTAGAAATGAATTTTTAAAAAATATATACTTTATTGATTTTTTACAGAGAGAAAGGGTGAGGGATAGAGAGTTAGAAACATCGATGAGAGAGAAACATCGATCAGCTGCCTCCTGCATACCCCCTACTGGGGATGTGCCCGGAACCAAGGTACATGCCCTTGACCGGAATCGAACCTAGGACCCTTGAGTCTGCAGGCCGACGCTCTATCCACTGAGCCAAATCGGTTAGGGCAGAAATGGATTTTTAAAATGACGTTTAGTTTCTCATGAGCTTCTGCTTTCAGTTCATTCAGCTATGCCCTAGCCCAGTGGTCGGCAAACTGCGGCTCGAGAGCCACATGCGGCTCTTTGGCCCCTTGGGTGTGGCTCTTCCACAAAATACCGACTTCTGCGCATGGGCCACGAAGTTTCAATCACACTGTACATTCGCACCCGCATGTGGTATTTTGTGGAAGAGCCACACTCAATGGGCCAAAGAGCCGCATGTGGCTCTCGAGCTGCACTTTGCCGACCACTGCCCTAGCCGTTTGGCTCAGTGGATAAAGCTTTGGCCTGCGGACTGACGGGTCTCAGGTTCGATTCCAGTCAAGGGCACATGCCTGGGTTGTGGGCTCTATCCCCAGTAGGGGGCGTGCAGGAGGCAGCCGATCCATGATTCTCTCTCATCATTGATGTTTCTATCTCTCCCTCTCCCTTCCTCTCTAAAATCAATAAGAACATATTAAACATAGAATTAAATGATCTCAGATACACCAATCACCCCACCAAATCACCCCACTGCAGTGTGTGATGGCCCCTTGCCCATGCCCCACATCACTGGTGAGCCCCTCTTGTTCGTCTTATCAGCTGGAGCCTTCTTCTTCCTGAGGGTCTCCGTTTATTTTTGTCCTAGACTCACCCAGCCTTTGCTCTTTCGGGTTCAGCTCCTTGATCCACCCTGTCCATGTGGCTCTCATTCAGTGACATCATAAGTCCCTCTACTTCTGTCTGCCTGCTCTCCTCTGTCATCTTGTCACCTTTCTCCTGGGGCTCACTTTCTGCCTCTCTCAGGCTCTTCCTGCCTCTGTTGTTCTTGGCCTCTCTTGTTTGTTCATCTCTCATGGCTTCTCTGCATATCTGCGCTCTCCTGGCTGGGCATGGTGCCTGTTCCTCCCTTGTCACCTGCTCTGTCACTCATGCTAGTTTGGGTCTCCCGCCCTGGTGCCTATTTTGGGATGGATGTGTGTGTTAGGCAGCCCTGGGCTGGCAAGGGCAGCTTGGAGGCTCCAGGGCCAGGGGCCCCCAAGAGGGTCCAGGACAAGAAGAACCAGAGTGACTGTACCTGGCCTCAGCCCAAAGCCCAGCCTGGGCTCCCAACACTTGGCCTTGGCCCTAGCCTTGGGGTTCCCTTCCCCTCTCACTACCCGCCACCTCGGGGGTGGGGGGCAACTTTGTCCCTCCCTCTGCCCAGAGGGCTTCCATACCTGCGCAGACCAGCTTGTCTACACACCTGCCTCGGCTGTAAGCGGATCGAGACACACCACGGAATCGCTTCAGCTGCCTGACAGGGACCGGAGAGAAGAGGAACAGGATATGGTTCTACCCCACTCATCCAGGCCCGAGCAGGCCTGGTCCCTGCCCCGCCCAGGCGCGGGCAAGTAGGGCGGGCGCCTGGCCTGCGGACAGCGGACCAGCCCGCCCACTTTCCCACCCGGCCCCGCCTTCCCGCTGCGGGCGTGGGACTGAGCGGGGGCGGAGGCCCGGGGCTGAGGGCAGATGTCAGACCTGTGAGTCACAGAGATCAAGCGGCAGCAGCTGGTTAAAGAATGGTTGCCTGTGCTGAGGGCGGCGAACAGCTGGCGCCTGAGTGCAAACCCCTAGATGCATTCTCCCAGGCCCGGCGCTCAGCCTCTGGACTTTCCCAAGCAGCATCTGGGGAGGGAAGATGCAAAGGCTGGAGCTCGTGCCCGACGTAGGGGCGCGAGAGCTTTCTCTCCACGTCCTCCGCCCGGGTCCAGTGTGGCTGCTCAGAGCGGACTGAGAACTGTCCCTGGGAGAAGGGGATTCGAGAGCTGGTAGCTAGCATCGTGTGGGGGCCAGTACTGTCTCTGTTGGGACAACTGGGGGACCCCGGCGGTGGCGTCTAGGGTAGGAGGTGGATCTGCATTGGCTGGTTGTGGAGCGGTCATCAGGATAGTGTCGCCGTTGCCAGGATTAGGAGTGGTGATGAGCAGGTTGGAAAATATTTTTTAAATAAATAAAAGCATGATTTAAAATAAAAGAGAGACCTCTTGAGGGGTACAGGGCTTTCCTTTGGGGGCGATGAACATGTTTTGGAACTAGTTAGACGTGGTGGTTGACAACACTGCAAATGTATCAAGTGATATGCTATGTATATATTGCTATATGTTACATCACATGTTACATTGTATATTAGATACATGTATACAGGTATCTGTAATACTGTAATTATCTAGGAGCACATAATATGTAACAACGTAAGTTGTACACATAAAATACACAATTTAAAATATTGTAAAATACCATAAATGGTTTAATTTTATGTTGCATGAATTCTACCTCAATAAAAATAAAGGGGGGGGGCAACAGACACAGACACTGGGGAGGTGGGGGCTTGCCCAGGCTGGGAAGGGATGGGGGAGGGGGTCAATTGGGGAAAAAGACATATGTAAGACTTTAGACAATAAAAAAATAAAAGAAATAAAGGGGGGAAACACTAAAGTAGAAGTGCTCTGCTAGCCCCGAATTTGAGTGGTGCCAGGTAATCCCGCTGTGCAACTCACGATTTTTCTGGGGACAAATTGAGACAAAAGGCCCTCGCAGCAAGCCGGCGCCAGGCACTGAGGCTGCGCTGGGCCGGGCGGGGTCGGGGGAGGTGCCCCGCTGCCGTCAAGCAGCCCGAGCGCGTTTGCGACAGGCGGCGGCGGAACGTGGGGCCTGGACCGCCTCGCTTTTCCCCGGGTGGGCGTGGGGCGCGCGGTTCTCAGCTCCGACTCCTGTCGTTCCTCACCGCGATCCCCGACTCCTGATCACGGTGGGCTGGTCGGTGGCGAGGGGGGGCCGGGCGGCCTCTGGCCCGCCCCGCGAGGTGACCTTGTTCGAGTCCCCTGTCGCGCTGCGCCGCGGCGCGCGTTGCTGGCGTCGGCCTGATAGGGACCCGGCTGTGGGGCGGTTGAGGACACGCCACCAGCTGCCCCGTAGCAGGGGAAGTGCCGGGCCGCCGGGAGCTGTGCGGCGGGAGGGATGCCCCTCCATGTGAAATGGCCTTTCCCCGCCGTGCCGCCGGTCACCTGGACCCTGGCCAGCAGCGTCGTCATGGGCCTGGTGGGCACCTACAGCTGCTTCTGGACCAGTGAGTGGGCTTGGCTTGGGGGGAGCCCTGGGCCTCAGGGGAGAAGGAGGCCGAGACCCCCACGCTCTTTCTGTCCCCACCAGAGTGCATGAACCGCCTCACCGTCCACAACAAGGAAGTGCTGTATGAGCTCATCGAGAACCGCGGCCCAGCCACGCCCCTCATCACGGTCTCCAATCACCAGTCCTGCATGGATGACCCTCATCTCTGGGGTACACGGGCCAGTGTGCTGGGCGCAGGGAGGCAGGGAGAGAACCCCGGAAAGGGCCAAACAGAAGCAGAACAAACTCCCTTGCCACTGGGCTCTTCAGAGCTCTGGGACTACTGTTTCCGGGGCATCCAGCCCCAGTGTGACCCCTCCAGCATCCTCTCAGGGAAGGTGATTTGGAGAGGGCCTCAGAAGTTTGGAGGGAAGGAGGAAGCGAGGAATTGGCCACAGGGCAAGGTCTGACCATTTACTCTGTTGCAGCAGGCCTGTGGAACCTGTTTTCTAAATCGTGGAAGGTCCCACAGAGTCTTGGAGTCTTGGGAACAAATCCGAGGACCCGTCAAGGAAACTCTGGGTTAGGGGCTGAGAGATCCGAGAGACCTGTATCCTGGTTCCAGGTTTGCCCCAGGCTGGGTTTGTACCCTTCAGCCAACCTTATTTGGGAGCCCAGTTCCCCACCTACAAGTTCCTGCCCTACTGACTTCACAGGGACTTGCTTGGCTGCAATAACCTGGATGGCTGGATGGCGCGGTGTCCAGAGCTTTCACTGCTGAATGCAGGAGGTTAGACTCTCCTACAGCTCAGGGGCCGTGTTCAGCAAACTGCAGCTCGCGAGCCACATGCAGCTCTTTG